AGAGCATTTTCTTCGTGTGTATTCAAACTAGCCCCTGGTTTAAAAAATGATAAAAGAAATGCATCAGGCCTTCGGCTGGAAAGGTCTAAATTGTCTTTACATTTATCTCCAGAGCAGACACACATCCTGATTGTTGTTTGTTTTTTTACTGATTCTATCTTCTTCAGACTTGAGGTTGCGTGCAGTGGCTTCAATACACTTTTGATCATTCAGGTGGACATAAAGAAGACAAACTGATGTGACCAAATGAATCTGGATTACATACGAGATAAAATAGCCGAAAAACACCCAGTTTCCTACGAATATGTAATAACAGTACAACGGTTAATTTTTTTTACATAGATCCTATCTGCAAATTGTGTTTAATTGTATTAATGGTGCTGATCATACGAAGGATAAAGACTTATGTCAGAATCGGTATAGACAGGTGTCGCAAACCAGTACATCTGATCCATATTACTTACGTTTGCATAAAGAATCAGGTGCCGCGCAATAGCAGGACCATTGTGAATAGAATACCGTAATTACTCTTTTCGATCAGTAGTAGCCGTCGGGACATGCAATACCGTATGAACGATTGAAAATAAAATACCGTAATTACTCTGTACAACCGCACACGCCTCCGAAAGTCAAATACCATAATTACTTTTCACACACCGTATGATATTTGGGACCTTTAGCTTATGTTGTGCCTGTGTTGTATGTGCATATAACAGGTCAATGCCAGAAAATGTTCTCTGGAGGTGAAAATGAAATGAAAGGATCACTGAAAATCAATGATGACACCTGGTGTCCGTCAACAGTGTCAGTATGACCTGCTCTTTGGGTAGACATCTTCACTTGCTCAGTTATCAGTGCTTTTACGTGCTCTTGTATTTTTTAATTCAAGATCCAAGCAAAACGTGTCAGCACAGTGATGTAGTGGTTAGCATGCTGGACTCTCGCATCCCGGTGGAGACACCAAAATTTGTGACCTGGGTCTCATACTGTGTTGTGTCCCTGGGCAAGGCACTTCGTCCACATTGCACTCAGTCCACCCAGCTGTTTAAAATGGGTACCTGAAAAGCGGACCTATACGGTCTTAGCGCTTAGTAGCAGCTTTGAAAGTCCAATTCCGTCTGGGTAATAATGCAACGCCAGAGAACAGCATCGCGTTGGATTCTAGGCGCAAATATTAGCAATATTATTATTATTAGTCTGCTCAATTCTTAATGGCTAGACGGCCACTGTAATATTCCTGAACAATAATAAGACTTTCAAACGTTTTCTCAATATGAATAGTTTCAAATGAAACAAATAAAGGTGTTTTTCTGTATAGCTCCCATGGCAATATTTTCAGTGATCCGTTCATATAACTTTTCATTTCTATTTTCCCCTTTACACCAAACGGAATGTTTCTGAGGATAGTGGAGATTGAGTATTCTTTGGCACTGTCGTTCTTTGTTAACAGTTTAATCATGCCTAGACATGGAGAAGTATTGATTATACGATGAAAAGAAATATGCCATCAAGCATTTCGAGTGTTCAGTTATCACAAGGTCCGAGCATCGAACCCTAGTGTTTTGTTTGTTGCTGTCTTAGCCATATTCTAGCTGTAGATATCGGCGTGTAAATAATTGAGTCTTGACCAGACCGTCGTGGCGTGGCGTGGCGTGGCGTGGCGTGGCGTGGCGTGGCGTGGCGTGGCGTGGCGTGGCGTGATCATTCTTTGTATATTGTACATGACGTTATAATACAATGGATGGCTTCCAGTTCTTTCAGGACAACGGAACATCAGGTTAGCTATATGCAGATGCTACGATCGATTAAATCGCTCTAATAAATAGTATCAATTCAATTTATTCCGAATCACACGCTTTTCAAATTTGGGATGTACACGAAATGGTGTTAATAATGCTAATAAAGAATTGATACCCAGTCATCTGTATAAAATAACTCTCAGTTTCGATGGAAGTCACGATTTGGAACAAAAAAGCTTTGCATCGTCGCAAAAGTAGTCGGAGAATCCAATTTAAGAAGGTTTTTCACCACTCAGTAACCGCACTAAAACCCGCGTCCAAATGAGAACGTCTGACCGCTTCGCAAATAAACGTCGTTAATATACTCTCTCAAAAAAGAAACGCATATAGGAATTTCAACTGTATTGTTATGTTATATAGCGAAATTGCACACTGGGAATGCAGACCTATCTTCTTTGGCACCAACTCGAGGAATGTCAGTTTGAGTGTCACATGGAGACGTGTGGTGGCGCTGAAGTCAATACCTCGTGTGACCACCGTGGGCATCCAGAACTGCACGGCATCGCCTCGGCATCGAACGAATAAGTCTCAGAATCTCGTGTTGCCCAATCGCAGCCCACTCTGCCTGTAGTGCCCGTCTGCCCAGGGCATCCCACAGATGTTAGATCAGGTTTAGGTCCGGTGATCTTGAGGGCCAGGGGAGCACATTGATGTTGTGGTTCTGGAGGAAGTCTCTAGTGTGACGTGCTGTGTGGGGCCTGGCATTGTCCTGTTGAAACAACTCCCTCTGGCGATCAATGATTGGGAGGAGCTGTGGGCGTAGGATTTCGTCACAGTACCGTTGAGCTGTCAAGTTGCCCTGGATCATCACCCAATCACTTATCCTACGGCAGGTGATCGCTCCCCACATTATAACACTTTCCCCGGCCGAATCTGTCCACCTGGGGAACGCAAGCGTCGGCGAAACGTTCACGTCGACGTCTGTACACCCGCATTCTTCCATCGCGTCGTTCCAATAGACATCGTGATTCATCACTGAACCAGATTCTACGCCAATTCGGTAGGTTCCAGGCCTGAACGGTGGTGCACCATTGAACTCGGTGTCGACGATGTCGTTGTCGAAACACAGGGCCAAAATAAGGTCTTCTGGCACGTAAACCAGCCTCTCTCAACCTCTTCCCGACGGTCCGTGCAGAAAGCCTCCTCAATCCGGGTATTTGTCGAGCGGTACTGGTCGCCGTAGCTGTTCGATGACACAGGTGATGTACCCGGATGTGGCGATCCTGCGCCGCAGTGCTCGCTCGAGGTCGCCCACTACGAGGGGCATCTGCTACCGCATTCTGCGGTCGATATCTCTCCCAGAGCCGTGAAATGGTGCTTTGGTGAACATTCATGCGTCGGGCAACTGCACGTTGGGACTGGCCAGCTTGAAGCAAACCAATGGCGATATGACGGTTGGCTTCACTTAGACGTGGCATTTTGCGTTCGTCAACAATATTCCAAATACAGTGAATAATCGACAGACAGCGATCAACCTTTTATACCCATCATTGAGACTATGTGAACCCAACTCTCACGTGCATTGCATGTGAATTGTGTATTCTGTGACACTACACGCCGAAATTGAAAATCATGCTGTTAAATACGGGTATTTTACGGATGGTGCGTTTTGTTGCATAAACACCATAGGACTCATAAACAGAGCAAAACCTTTGTAAAATGAATCACGTTTTAATTCATTGCTACATGAAATTGCTATTTTCATGATGCGTTTCGTTTTGGGAGAGTATATGTACGTTGAGTTGCAGTTCTGACAGTAAAGGTACAGGGCCTTATCAGATTTAAAATTCACGATGAAGTAGATTAAGATAATTGTTGACATTAAAACTGTAACTAAAACCTCAGTGCCTTTGGGGTAAGTATATTTAGATCTTTGAACAACTACATGAACAAAACAAGAAATTTCCTGAAACCCAGCAAACGAAAACAAACACACGAAGAGCATTCACGGAAAGTGAATGGACTTAATCTATTTCCGTTCTCGTTTTGTTCGATGTCGGATGTTAAGCTGCAGTACAGATGAACACTTTGGCAAGGTGAATATGATCGCAACTGGAGATATTTTTCTTAACCACGTGGGACTAAGACACAACACACAGAGGATACCCTGTAAACTATCTAAAGCTAGGAACATTTGCTAAGCTCTACATAGACTATATAGTCTGAAGGAGTAAAATGGTTAATGAAATGTTTCTCGTTAACAAGATATGCTATAAAGTTGACAAAAACATTGCCGTTATCATAAGAAATCTTGTAAAAGTCCATGTTCGATTGCAAATATTTCATGAGCATGTGTAAATGAAGGATCATGAAATAGTGTCGATGCCAGGTGTTCACAATATGGTGAACATATATTATAGCCCTTCGGTAGCACCTGCCATAAACACTCACAGGGTCTAGCGAACTTTTCACCTGTGAAAAACACGTGGTTGGATCAGGGCCCTCTTTGGCAAACATGAAATTACAAATGTTGTTGTTTATTATCAGACATGTTTAAAGTATGGCCACAAGCATTGTGTCTTTCTTACGTTTGAAAGCTTTGGACTACAGGCACGATAAAATGCATAAGAATGCCAAACATGATTGAGAACGTAAGGTTATCGAGCTTCAAGAGACAAACCGTGGTCAACTCTCTTACCCAAGATGTTAACGATTGCTTGCACAAATTCCAAGTAAATCGCCCAAATAGCTTCGGTCAAAGACTTACTCATGTTAAAATTACGCTTCACCCAGTCCTATAAGACATGTTATGTTTTGCATATTTGGTCTTTAACTGTACATTAAGTGTTATATTGGTAAAAAACCCAACACATCAGGTGTTGAAATGTCAAATTCTTATTCATAGGAATCACAGAAAAACGTTCATTATGATTTCTATAGTTTTAGTCATTTTTATCTTGTGAGCCAAAGAAGGTCCTTGTCGTGCCTTGTCCTTTCAGGATGAGTCAGTCTGATTCGATGTTTCGATAACTTGAGGACGTAATTCCACACAAATCATGTGAAAGAACAGTTTACTGTATTAGATACGCTATTACGCAGATGTCACATGGACAGTGTGATATTCTGTATACATTACTACCAGCTATGCCAGGGAATTGATCGCGCTACTAAATGAAAAACTAGGTTATCATTGATTCCGTAAACACTGTTCCCATTTCATGTTTGGAATTGCAATTTGTATGCAGGTGCAAAGGGATATTTGTATAATTATACACACATTTATTCCAACCATTACGTGGAAACGACCATGAAACTTAAACTTTGGATAGCGACAGCTCAATAGTCTTGGAGCTGCACTGCAGATGTACTGGTAATGGCTTTCAGCTTGGATATTACGTACATATGAAAGGAAACAAGGAGGAGAATTAATCTTGTCCTGCCCTGTATCTCACTGATGTGGCGTCACATTTGTTATTTCATGGCTGCGTTCACTGCTAGATGTATAGATTAGAGCCGTTCCAGGGGCTTCATAGGGATAATCATGGATCGGAAAAAGTCTTCACAGACTCAAGATGTCCGTAAGTATGACAGATTAGGATGAACCATGATGATCTTGCCTCTTTGATTTTCATTAATGCTTCTTTATGTCAAGATTCGTGAATGGTTAGTGGAAGGAAATGATAGATGGTCATATGTAGTTTTTCAAATAAATTATTTATTTTTTTAAACTCGGGGCTATTATAATAGACAGAAACAGATTAACATTATTTCTTCGACGACACATACTTACAAGACCAGTAAGTTCCTGTTTTTATGGTGCATCAAGGGAGAAATGCACTGACATACACTTGGCTCTGTTGTACCGGTAATTGACAGCTGAATTTGAAAATCACGAAACTGCAATTTTGTTTCTGGGCACTTGTAGCATGCTAAAGCAGCAGTGGTTGTAGCTTGGTCTTTATGACCACTGAAGTTAATTGCGTCATAAACATTGAGTCTCATCAGTCGGCAAATAATACTCGTAAATATTTTTAGTTTCTAGGTACATTATTGTGTTTCCCACAAGTAGTACACATCTAATGAGAAACTGTGAAGTGATCATTGTTTCCCATCAGAGTTATATAGCAAACGACTCAACCATTTTAGTAGTTAACATGTGCACGGTTATGGATAATAACTTCCTTTTTATACACCTGATGAAGGAGCAATAATTAGTCCTGAAACGTCGTATAAATAGTAACAGAAGTTATCCATAAAACGTGTTCATGTTCGTCCAACTTCTAAATGCCTTTCAAAACCTTCAGTTTAGTCCTACATATAAAATGTACTGTTATGTCCTATGTGTTGACAGCAGTTCAAGGCTTTGGGATATAACACGAAGGTATCACATGCATGTGTATAATGCTGTCCTAAACATTGGTTACCTTATTATGAAAGTGTTACACAAATAAAACCTGGTGGAATGCACATATTAATCCTGCCGCAAGATTAAAAATGCTGAAAAGAAGCATACATACACTGATGGATGAATATATTCAGATAAATCATTCAGACAAATCCCGATATATATTTCACGTAATGGGTTTAAAGAAATATTCTTTTAGTTCTCCAAAATTACTTATGTTTTGAATTGATGAATAGTTGTCTTCTAAATGCTTATTTTTGAAGACAAATCATTACAAATGGTACGTCACACGAACTGCATTTTCGACGTTGAGAAAGTGCCGCGATTTCAACACTGTGTAAATAACACATGTGCTACTTTCATAAAGGACAAATTTAAGGAACATTCCAGTCACGTGTTGGTGATACTTACTACCACGCCCGTTCATTCAATTGTGTCCTTTGAATGTTCTTTGACCTTCCGTTTACAAAACTGTAATAGAAAATAACAGAACATTAAATATATCAGTAAAGCAAGATGTATGGATGTCAACTTCTTTACTGCTCCTTCAACTCCGAAACGTCGTGTTATTCACAATAAAGAAGTTGACATCCATGAATCTTGCTCTTCTTATGCATTCCACGTCTAAACGCCCTTCAGAGATTTGAAGAAATATATCGCCTAAGTATCAGTTTGATCTGGTGATGCTTTGTAACTTTGTGCTGAATTGATCAGGAGAAGGCATCTGAATTTTCCATCAGAGTCGATTTCTAAAGGGATAACCTATACCAGCATGCTGACAAGTGAGAGTCGTTACATGTGGTTCTTCTTTCAAATAGTAAGAGGTATATACGTTTGTTAAGACCTTCATGGGGCGACAAAACCATTAAAACAACAACGACGTAATTTTAGATTTCAATTTAAGATTCTTTCAAGAGTCGTTTCGCACCACGTGATAATGCTCAATGCTTCATCAGTGACCTACTCTGTTAAGGAAACCAAAAATACTGAGAGAAACAAATAAGGGAACACAGGAAAATTCAAGCGTGATAGTAATCATACAGTGGATTATGTTTTCAGCAGTTATTTCGTAGAATAATTGTTTTGTCGCTTCTATTTATATTAGTTTCATTATGGCATTTGATCGATGACAGGCGATGGAATAAAATGACATTTACAGAAGACTTGGTCACAGTGTTCATCATTCTGTGTACACGTGCGATTAGGTAAAGGGGTTAATCCTTATGTTTTGTTATGTTATGATTCTAAAACCGCAAGCTCGAGTACACTTAAATTCATTTATTTATTTATTTATTTATTTATTTATTTATTCATTCATTCATTCATTCATTCATTCATTCATTCATTCATTCATTCATTCATTCATTCATTCATTCATTCATTCATTCATTCATTCATTCATTCATTTATTTATTTATTTATTTATCATGTTTGTTGTCTAAAGCCGCACTCAGCAATATTCCGGCTACATGGCGGTGGTCTGTAAATGATCCAGTATGGACCAGACAATCCAGTAATTAACAGCATGATCGTCGATCAACACAATTGGGATACGATGACATGCTTGTCTGACCACCAATCCTATTAGTCGCCTCTTACGACAAGCATGGGTCGCTGAAAACCAATTCTAACCAGGATCTACACGGGTCTAAAGCAGTTATATCTCAAATTCACTAATATAGCCTAAAGCACACATATCGCCAAATGAATGAAACATCTCCTTTCTTCTTATTTCTGTTTCGTTAGATACTTCTTATTATTTCTATTTCATTAGACATTTGCACATATAATGTGAATGAGACACATGTCGTGTGTGTTGGTAGGCATACTCATTTCTTTTGACGTTGATAGCATTGTACTTAGTAACCTCAGAGCATTATCAATGTATATATAAAGAATACTTCCTTTAATATCACGCCCTGAGCTTCTGTACTGAAAGAGTTTTGCTACTTATATACAATGTCTCAGCAACGCCGTTAATTGGAATACGACTGACAAACCACAGCGATTAATTTTATTATTATTAATACATTGGAAATCGTTGATCTTTTTGGGATCCCAGTGGAATATGCGTCATAGACTATGTGTTTTGCGAAGTAGCCTCTTCGGTTTATTGACTATGCAATTACGACAATAGGTGGCCATGGCCGAGACGTTCATGACGTATGCTTGGCAGGTCAGGTTACATATAACAGGTCAGCTACTACCAGTCCAGCTATCCCTGCAATGATGCGAAACCAGGAAGAATGAAGAGTCATCTTGTGAATTTGGGTCTGCAGACTGGTTTGTCGATTTGCAGACCATATGTAATCAGATCGATAATATTTTGTACGATTCAGTGAGAATATACAAGGTGATGACCAATTAGTGTCCAATTAGTTGGATGAGATGCACTGTAAACATATAATCTAGACACAAAATTATGGTTCAAGAATATCTAGGGAAAATATTTCATATTTAATATTTTGTGCTGTGTACTCACTGTCAAGACGAGAAAATCACAATGTAGTACCTATCATGTACGATATAAAAAAGAAAATAATGCCATATAAATTTGCGAAGAATTTTCAGCTGTTCATTTATATTGGTTAAATATTTTTAAATATAGTGTTTTACATTAATGTCATTTCACAAATGAAATTGAATCAAATTTAAATCTTAAAAAGCTATCATCAATATTAGTTGATTTATTTGTTTTCATGCTGTCTATCATGTTGATTTCACTCAGGGCGCGTGTCTGAGATGCCGCAATTCGCTATGCAGAAGTTGCATGCCTTTTTTGTGGGAGCTAATCCAAATTTTCGCCAGGTTTTTCAGCACCATGGATAAATGCTGATGGTGAAAGGACATATGTTACATTTATCAGATATTTTTTAATGCCGTTGATGACATGATATTATCTTTGTAATGGAAATATATGGTGTTGTGCCGTTTCATGAACATCTGGTGGGGTAATTGATATACAATGCCCTTACTATTACATTTGGATATTTATCGTATCTGTTTCTTCTTTTGATAAGAGTAGAATAACTGTATAGATATTTGAATATGATATTGTTCCTTCGTCCGATTGTGTGCTTCTGTTAACCTGATTGGCAACGTACACAGGTATCTATAGTGTAACGTCCTATGGTCTGACAACATTTTTCTCATGATACCGGCCGTTTCTACATAATCTTAAGGTGATGGGATGAGTTGCTCACTAATTATCTAACGAAGCAAGCTGAAAATATCATACGCATTTAATACTTCGGAGCTCATGTGTGTTCATGAATAAGAAATCTTATTTCAGCAACCCATGAGGATTCGGGTAAGAATCGATCTTCAGCAACCCATGCTTGTCTTAAGAGGCGACTAACGGTATCAGATGTTCAGGCTCGCTGACTTGGTGGACACTTGTCATCGTATCTCAGTTGGGTACATCGATCCTCATGATGATTTTGTGTTCCAGTTCTGTTTGTTGTATAATGCCCCACTCAGCAACAATGCAGCTTTGTGAAGGCGGTATTTTACTGATCGAACCTGGACCAGACAATCAAGTGACTGCTATCCTGAGCATCAATCATCTCAATTTGCATACGATTACATACTTCACCGTAGTCAGATTACCCGATCCTGTTCGTCGCCTCTTACACAAATATTGTTGACAGTTTTCATGTAAGAACAATTTCGACAGCCTTCATGCAGTTTTGAATATGACAAACATGTAATTCTCAGGTGTCACACTTGATAAGGATGTAATTAAGTTTTTCTGGATGCTTACCTGTTTGTTAATTAGTGAAAAGCATGAGAATAGAAAGTCGCAACACACATTGTTGTGGCGTTTATGTTTTCTCACTTCTTCTGTCTGTCGACTAAATTACCTTGTCTATTGCATTCAACACCATCTGCGTATGTGTTCTTCCTGGTCGTAAGACCATTGTCACCAACGTGGTGTCCATAATTACAAAAAGGCGCGTGACAGGTTGTAAGTCAACACCTGGCGAGCAGTGACACTAATCAATATCTGGCGTACGACTTTGGATTCAGTATGAAGTATATGATCATAATTATTAGTAATGGATATCCTCTATAGATACTTAATCCACAACCCAATGTGGTATTATTTGCCTTTGAAGTGTGGACGTGTTTATTTAGACATGTACAAGAAAAAGTCTACAGATGCAACGTGAC